ACCGTCATGTGCTTGGTAAGGCCATGAAGAACACGGTTCTTAGCCAATGCAATAGCACCCTGGCTATCACAATAGAGTGGGGTAGGTTCTTTCTGCTCCTCCCCCAATTCAGCTAGCAAACGCCACTGCCACACAACCTCTCTTATGACACGGAAAAGTGCCATGTACTCGGACTCCACGGAGCTCAATGCTTGGTCCACTTGTTTCTTGTTCTCCCAAGCTATTGGGTCTCCACCAACACAGTAATTGAAGCCTCCTACACTTGTCATGTTCTCAGGTTTCATATGCCCAAGTTGCATCAGTGAAGGCCGAGAGAAAGAGCCTCACGGGTTTGACTCCATCCGCACCCTTTTGATGCATTTGTGACGCCGAATAGTATTGCAGTCCAACAGTTGCTGTTTGGCCAAGGTACTTGGCCACTCTCTCTCCAGCTGCTACCTGCTCTTCATTAGGGCATTGGACAACCCTAGCCAGCTGCGCGGAAGCAAAGGCTGCATCCGGCCTTGTGTGAACGACCGCATACATAAGGCTGTCCACCAAGGAGTGAAAATGCCGCCTCTCCTCTTCATCAACACTTTCCTCCGCTAGTCCTTTCACACACTTGAACCCCGAGGGTAGAGGTGTCTCCACATGACCTTTATTCTTTCCAAAGTTTGCAGCCAAGGTCTCCAAGTACTTCTTTTGATGCACTCGCATCCACCGCTTCTCCACATCTCGCTCAATGTGAAGCCCAAGGTAGTAGTTGAACTTGAACTTGTCTTGAAGCTTCAGCATCATCTCCTTCACAAGGTCAGAGGAGGGTGAGAATACGAGAATGTTATCCACATAAACCACCATGAAGCTCCTCTGCTCCCCCTCGCCAAGCATGAACAAGGATTGATCGGCCGTTGAGGGAGTGAAGCCAATCGCCTCCAAGACTTCCCGCAACTTGATGTACCATTGCTTAGGGGCTTGCTTGAGGCCGTAGAGTGCTTCCTTTAGCTTCCACACTCTGCCACTCCCATCATTGTACCCCTCTGGCTGCTCCATGTAGGTCTCTTCCTCCAAAACTCCGTTGAGGAAGGCCGTTACAATATCCATTTGCTTCACCGCCCATCCTTCAATGGCCGTCACGGCGAAGAGAGTTCAAAGGGTTGTACCCTTCACCACAGGAGCATATAATTCATTGTATTCCTTCTTCTCCTGTTGCTGGTACCCCTTGGCTACAAGTCTTCTCTTATAGTGCTCAATGTTGCCGTCGGTGTCGGTCTTGCGCTTGAAGAGCCACTTGGAAGAAATCGCCTTACGCCCCGGAGGTAGGTTCACCAAGTCAAACGTGTCGTTCTCGATGATGCTCCCCATTTCTTCATCTGGGGCCTTCTTCCACTCCTTCCCATTGGGGCCCTCCCAGGCCTCCTTGGGATTTGTAGGCTCCCCAGGCATCTCCACCGGAGAGAAGAAGGCAAAAGCGCACTCCTCGCTTTCGTCTTCTGCATCATCGCCTAGCATGAGAGTCGAACTGGTCAAGGTTGAGTTGGCTGGTCTTCCAAGCCGATCATAGCTCAAACTATTGGGGGGCTGAGTCTTCCTTATCCCCCATCCTTCGTCCTCTACAGCAGGGACTTTAATGCTCTCATGACGTTGCTGCAAATCTGGTCGGTTCACGTGAGCACTTGTAGCACGAGGCGGAAGTGACAGTGCACGCTCATCACCTTGCTGCACCTCCTCCTCCTCGTCTCCCCCATTAATTTGAGGAGATTGCCTTGTGATTGTGCTATTGCTACTCAGTTCCAAGGGCAGCTCCACATGCTCCAAGCCAGTCCTCTTCGCCTTTCCAAACCGCACACCAATCTTCGATTGGTTCTCCGCCTTCCACTCCTTGTATGGTAAGTTCTTCATGAACTTGCAATCTCTTCTCACCAAGAACTTCTTAGTAAATGGGTCCCAAAGAAGCCATGCCTTGCTGTTTTGAGCCATGCCCATGTGCACGGCCCATGTTGCCTTGGCATCAAGCTTCTTGTGCCGAAGTTTCTTAGGCACAAGTGCCATGCACATGCACCCGAACACCCGAAGCATATCCACCTTCGGCTTCCTTCCAATCCATTCCACTTAGGGCACCCATTTGTCTTCTCCCATATGAGTCAAGGCTCTGTTCTTGGCCACACAAGCATGCCGCACCGCATCCGGCCAAAAGTAATTGGGTAGACCGGCTTCAATGAGAAGTCCCCGAGCCGTCTCCGTGAGTGACTGATTTGCACGCTCGGCGATGCCGTTCATCGCAGGAGAGTAGGGCATGGTAAGAGAGTGCTTTATGTCCTGCTTCTTCAGCCAAGTTGAGAAGTCCTTGCTCACGAACTCTCCCCCACGGTCAGTGCGAATCGCGTTCACAAGCCGGTCTTGTTGCCGCTCCACCATCGGCAACCAATCGGTCTTCACCGTTTCAGCTACGTCACTCTTCTTGGGCAGCACATACACCCAAGTCATGCGAGTGTATACATCCACTATAGGGAGGAAGTACTCAGCTCCAGCAGCTCCAAGCTTCAAAGGGCCCACCACATCCATCACCACCTCATCAAGTGATGCATTTGCCGTTGTCGCCGTGCTATGGAACGGGTAGCGGGTGGCACATGCCCCATTCGCCGATGCAAGGTCAGCCAATCACACTCTCCTGTAGCGGAAGTCGGGTTGGAGAAAGCGGCACTCGCAATTGTGCCCCACAACGCTCTCAGTTCTCTTTCGTCGCTGCTGCTTTGCTTATCTTAGCCTTCTCCTCCTCATTTCCACTATCTTTGGTTGCTGCAACACTCTCCTTGGGCTCACACGCCTTGCTGGTCCCTCCAAGATTGCACTCCTTCGAGTCACTCTTGGTGTCACTTTGCTTTCCGTGATCACCGCCACCAACCGCTTCACTCTTGGTGCTGACGCTTGCTGCTAATTGTCTCTCCTTAGGCATGGGGACCACTGGGATTTGCCAGATCTCGTTGTAGATGTCCCTGTCCTCATGAAGGTCCCAAAGCTTCCGCTCACCAAGTCTCGCGGTATAAGCTTTGGATCCCTTGGAAGATGTGTCCATGCCGGCCTTTTGCAAACGCCGCACGGAAATCAGGTTGGCTGCAAGATTGGGCACCCAAAGCACGTTCTTGAGACCCACCATCTTCCTATCAGCACCCTTGAACATGGCCTTGCACATGCCTTTCACCTCTGCTCGCTGCCCCAAAGCCAATGTAACATGCTTGACCGGCGACGGTTCGAGTTCGGTGAGCAAGTCCGCACAAGGTGTCATGCTATAGGTGGCGCCGCTATCGATCACCCAAAAGTCCAGAGAGTGAAGAGCGACCTTTCCCACAGTAGCTGGCTCCTCAAATCCGTCCACACCTCCTACTGCAGCTGCCGCTTGCGTGGAGACAAAGATGAATTAGCTCGGGTATCGATCTTCAGTTGGGTCCGTCTCATAGTCTCCACCTTTCTTGCTTGCCGCTTCGCTTCCACGACCACCACGGCCTTCACGTTCTCTGTCTCTCCCTTCCCTTGCTCCTCTGCCCTCTTGAACTTGAGAGGAGGTCCATCCATCAAGCAATCTGAAGCAATCTCTCAACATGTGGCCGGTCTTGTGGCAAAAGTGGCATTCACCATCAAATCGACCGCGCCCACGCCCGTATCCATTATTGTTGTTGTTGCTGCTATACCCTCCATCACCACGGCCTCTATTGAAGTTACTACTGCCAAATCTGACAGCCATGCCCACGGCCCATGCTTGCAACTCCGGCACCATCGGGACCCGCCAATTTGCGACGACAAAAAATCTTCTTGTAAGATTTCCCGCGTCACATCTTCAAGCAAGAGGTGGGACAGATCTCGATTTAGGTTGATGATGAGCGAGGACCATGAGTCCGGAAGTAAGGCCAGCAGCTTGGTCTTCTTTTGAAGGTCACTGTAGTTCCGGTCAGCTTCTTCGAGCCGTGTCAACAAGTCGAAGAATTTCTGCACTCCTTCCTCCACCGGTTCGCCTTCGTCAATTCGAAGTGCCGCCATTTGCCGCTCCAAAACCACAGCCACCGCCGCTGTTGCTGGAGCGTGTACACCCTTGAGAGCAGCCTATGCCTTTGGTCCCTTTGCTGGTTCACGCTGAAAAGGCTTGATGTGACGGATTTGACTGCTCCCCGATGCTTGCCCAAGTAGAAGGTAGCCTTGTGCGCTCTTCCGTACCCACGGGCTCTTCTCTGGGTCGTTCTCAGGGCCCTTCTCCGTTCCTTCCATCACCTCCAGTAGATCATAGTGGTCAAAGATGTTCTCCATCTTGAGGGACCACTTAGCAAAGTTGTCGCCATTGAACTTGTCATTCCGTCCCCCCACCCTCCTTCATTCGCCTACCCCTTTCCCCCATTAGCCAACCTCTTTCCCCCATTCCAACACCCCCTTTTCCCATCACCTCCTTTCCCCATCCCCAGGTGATGGGAGGGACTAAGTAATGGGAGGGAGTAGGGGAAAGAAGATGTTGTTCTTTGGGCGCTCCTAGACAATTGGTGAAACCATTCAAGCACAGGGCGACGGGAGTGACTACATAGGTCATTTCGAGTACAATGACAACTTGTTCCAATCCAAATATTCGCATCTGCCATACACATTCTGTTGGAACATGCAGCTGCAGCAGCTTTTGCCCTACAGCCGGCGGCGGACCTGCACAGGCAGCTCCAGGCCTTCCACCATCCCAGCGTTGGTATGAAGGGGTGAAAGGGGGCAATAGTGGGGTGGCTGTGGGTGCGTGCATGCTTGAGCGTGTACCCTGGTTTCGTGCGGGGATGAGATGGGGGGGATGAGGCACCTTTTATGACCTTCCTGTGATCTCGATCCTCTGCATTGCAGGGGCTTGGGCTGGGGATCTGATTACCATTGCCACTGATGGGGACAAGGAGAGGGGTAAAGTGGAGGAGGATGATGAGGTGATCTATAAAGTGTCCCTCCTGTGTTCCTCATTCTCCCTTCCCTATCTACTCTGCCCCTCAACCGTCTGCATCACCGAGGCTCCTCTCCTATGTTCCCCATCAGTCAACACCTGCAAATCTGATGGCAATTGCCACTGATAATGAGGAGGAGGAGGAGGAGGAGGAGGAGGAGGAGGAGGAGGAGGAGGAGGAGGAGGAGGAGGAGGAGGAGGAGGAGGAGGAGGAGGAGGAGGAGGAGGAGGAGGAGGAAGAGGAGGAGGAGGAGGAGGAGGAGGAGGAGGAGGAGGAGGAGGAGGAGGATGAGGAGGAGGAGGAGGAGGATGAGGAGGAGGAAGAAGAGGAGGAGGAGACACGAGTAGGAGCAGTAGTGGCAGCAGCAAGGGAGGGAACTGGGGCAAGCTGGGGGAGGTGTACCCGACTTGGTGGAGGTAGATTGGTAATATTGCCCCTTGCTTTGACCCCCCATGGGCCCATGGGTGAAGTGCTGGCCAGAGCTGCTGCTGTGGTACAAGAGGTGGTAAGTGTTCTGTCTCTTGCTGATGCCGCTGCTGCAGCTACTACTTCAGCCACCAGGGGCCAAGGTGGACGACACAATCAAGCAGGTGAGAGGAGTTTTTGGTGGTGAGACAGGGGATGGCCCCGGGGAGGGGGGGGGGGGGAGGTGGGAGGGGGAGGGGGAAGGGGGGGAGGGACAGGGGGGGAGAGGTAATATTGGGGGGCAAAGATTATGGTATTGAGGTTGTGATGGCATAGTGATCCAGTGGCATGAGTACGTTTCCTTTCCTTCCCCCTTCTCCCTATACATTCCCCTCCCTTCACCTCACTCCCCCCCCACACTCCACTGCTGCAATCCATCTACTTTGAAGGTCAATTCAGCACCCACTACTAGCGGAACAGCCGAAGCAGCAAGGCTTCTTCTTCTGCTGTTTAACACCATGCGCCTTGCTCTTATGATGCTGATTTGATGCACCTCAAGCTACGGTATCATATGCTCTACTGCTGTTCTCTGCATCCCCCATGGGACGACCCTCCCTGCTATCCGCTAGAATTCAGTGATAGAGTAAAGATGACACTAGCTCCATACACCTCAAAGGCACACCAGGACAAATATCGTACGTACGCACCTTTCACTTTGATTCGTTATCGCATGGCCTGACTTCTCCCCTGAGCACCTCGCGAGACAGCAGCATCAATCCCGCTCTGTGGAATTGGCGCTGATTGGCTCCAATTGACTCAAGACCAGCAAAGTTTTGTTGGGGGAAATATCGATAGCCAATTCCACAAAATGTACATGCACGCCTCTAAATTGGTTTTGGCCCACTCTTACGAATCAGAGTGCTTTGTAAAAATTTTACCCCACATGCTAGGGTAAAAAAAATTCCAAGTCTGAAACAGTCGGGTAAAAATTATCTTACACTGCACTCTCATAGTACATTTCAAAACACCTGACTTCCTTTCACTAGAAATTGCCTTCGCATTTCATGAATCGTTAGGAATTAGCACATGCCTATCTTGTGAGACGTGTCCCTATAAAGCCTACGTCCCACAAAGGTCAGTGGTACTGCTATGCACCACCATCAGCAGTACCACACTTACTCTACTCTACTCATCTCTAATGTGCGCATACCACAAAGCCTACAGAGTCAGTCATCCTCTCGGCTCCACCAATGGAGTGGGCTCACTAGTAGAAGCCCCTGCATTTTCGACAGGGGTGGGGTTGGCCGAGCTCAGATCTTGAAGGGGACGGCGTGGCTTCTTGCCGCGGAAGACAGCAACCACATCGAACCAGTCGATGTTGTATTGCAGGAGGGAGCACCGCATCTGTCACAGGATCGAATGTCCCGAGGAAAGGTTTGCTCAATGTTGCACTATCAATCAATACAAGGTGCTTTTATACTCCCAAGATACATCAGGTAACCAGGTTTATCCTATCCAAAGGGAATAGACCCTTCTAGAAATAGAATCACCCTACGTATAGCCACGCGAGGCTATTGGCTTTAAGGGATTACAGCAGGATTACGCTAGATATAGCGCGCCAGTACATCCCGAGCCTGGTCGGTGATATAATTATAATAACAGGATAAACCAGAGGATAATGGAAAATGAGGAATAGGAAACCAAATGAGATGAGATAAAGACCAAATGAATCAAGATAAAAAGAGGAATGAAATAGAAAGGAAATATGGAAAGGGGAAATTGGTGTAACGGGGTCGTACTCTCACACTTCCCCCCCTCAAAGCTGGGTGGTAGACGTAACACCCTGCTTGACAAGGTAGTCGCGAAGAGGACGACGGGCGTTACCCATGTCGGATTCAGAGACGCAGCCTTAGAAGTATCAGAATCCTTCCAGCAAAGAAGAAGCTCCAGAGTGCCATTCTGACGACGACGGTGTCCGAGCACGTAGTTGTCCCATGGTGTGGATGAACACGGGCGGCGACGGTGGTTGGCATTCGGTGTAGAGCGTGTTTGGTCTTGATAGGGTTTTAGAAGCCGGTATGGAAGGTGTTATGGATCTTCCAAGTGGCTGGTAGGCGGAAGCGGAAGTTGAATGAAGTGGCCTTCGCTTCAAAGGGGATAGGCCTGTTGAAGCGAGGTCGCAGTTTGGATGGGAGATGGCCGATATCAAGATTGCGCGTGTCGAGCAGTACTCGGTCTCCCACGGTGATGGTGTGGTCTGTGCGGTGGCGATCGGCCTGGCGCTTTTGTTGTTGCTGAATGTCGAGAAGGCGCTTGTGGGTCCGATCCCAAAGTTTGTGCATGGTCGTGATGAAATCATGAGCGGGTTGGACTGTTGCTGGAACTGTCTGTTGCTACGGAGTGAGCAGGCTCTGTCCATAGCAAAGAAGGATGGTGTGTATCGCTGTCAGTGATATATGGGCAGGTGCAAGTTGTAGTTGGAGACTTCAGTGGTTGGAACAGTGTGCTGTAACGTGCAGATGAATGGCTACGTTGTCTGTTCTGTGCATGCCTGAAGATCACTTGCATCTCGTCCACGCCTGAAGATCACCAAGTGGTGGTGGTATGGCAATCGTGTCGTAGTACTGCTTCTGTAGCAGTGTTGTATCTGTTACATGCAGCTTCTGTCGAATGCTGGTCCATGCCGTAGTGTTGTCGCGAGTCGTACCCACTCGGCATCGTAGTGCTGCAGAATGGAGAGCAGACTCACTAGTAGTAACCCTGTCCACCACGCGATCTGCTACTCACATTGCCTTGAGTACAACAGCGCATGCAAAGTGCTGCTCAGCGTATCCCTTGTGTTCAGAACCATGCGAGGGGTTGGTACCATAGACGCGGAGCTGTTAACTTCCAGAATCGGCGCCAAAGTAGTTTCCCTCGGTGGTTGCTCAAGCAAGGAATCTCTGCTGCGTAGATATCCCACGGTGATGGGTTAGGACATCTGGGAATATTATGGGTATTCCCAAGTAATCCTTTCCCATTTCCAAATGAGCATTGCTTATAGCCAATCCAATATGACCTTATGCACATCCAGTTTAGCACGGAGGCCATCGGTAGGCATCGGTGTCTGGCGCACATACTGGGATAGGTCTTCTGGTGCCATCATGTGTTGTCTCATTGTGTTACTGCCCTTGAAGTAGCGTTGATGTCGAAGATGTCTCAGCTACTCAGCATCAGTGTTGAAGTCTGCTCCATTTCGGCAAACAGGGGTGTTGTTGGAGATACGCGGAGTCCACTATCCGGAGTGGCGTCGGCGCTCCATTCCACGCCTATCTGCTTCCGTGGAGGTGGTGCTGGTGATGGATTGGTTGCGACGCAGGTTTTATGACTTAAAAGAAAAGCCATAGGCCATGAGGACTTGTATACTGGTAGAGTACCGTAGTCCTCCCATCCTCGTAAGAGCAAATATCTCTTGCTCTTGAGGGTATATAGCATTGCCATGTTGTTCCCTCACATAGTGGTATCTCCTTCCCACTAGCTGGAAATCAATGTTGTGCCTGGCCGGGTCTTAACGATCCACTGGAATATAATCCAGCATTATCTCAATTGAGCGGAGAATCATCCATCAGGGTTTGGATATGACTGTTGTGTCGAGTCTTCTGCTGCGGCGGCGGCGGCGGTTGCGACAATGGCAACGGTGGCAGCTGCTACAGAGAATTCTCTCAACTCGTACCGGTTGAAGGAGAATCCATCAACTCCCTCTTCCCAGTAGAGTGTTCCTGATGGGTGTAACAGGCGTAACTACCAGGAACACGTGCACATTAGTACACATGTGTTGCTCCATTGCTGCCGGTGATTGTTTCATTTGAGGGTATGAAGAGAAATTTGCTTCTCCCCTCAATCTATCCACGGGTAGCAATTCCTAGTATGCTCATCCGTGCCTCCGATGTACGGTCGGTAGAGCGCGTGATCGTGTTGTAGTAGTCCGCATCTCCCTCATTTGTTGACACCTCGTGTTGCTTGACGTTCTCCTGCATCGTCGAAGTTACGCTGATGCTTGTAACGCTTCAGCTTCTGATAGAATCGCCTCCAATGCATGTGCCGTAGGGTCGCTAGTGAACGAGTATTTGCCGGATTAGAGGTTAATTACTCCTCAATCTGTCAAGCATCGTGACATGCACGGAAACATTTCCACGCAGGTCATTAACACCTGGAATCGCGACGCATGATTAGTGTGTCGCCTCGTGAGGTTGATGTTGAGACTGCTTCAATCAATCACTTCGGATGGCTGAGATTCTTGATGAAAACGAATCGTTCAGCTCCTGTTACGAAGTAGTGTCTCGCTGGCCTTGACGAGACGGGTTTACTGCGTCGTCGTTGCGTGCGAAATCTGCTCCTTCGCAGCAACTTGATGTTGGGAATATTGCAAGAGAAAACGGCTACTTATCTGCAATCCCATAGGTTGTCGATCAAATCTATGACATGAAGTGTCTCATTGGCGGAGAACATGTCTTCACGCAGGTTCATTGTTTTTCCGGGGTGAAGATCCGCTGTGTTGACGACGATCCATTGTTTAACGAAGATGACTTCGTCAAAATAGATCGATCGTTGTCGACACTAGTCAGAAGATGCATCGATTGTGCAGTCACTGGTCACGAATGTTGTCTCCATGATGATGTTTTCCCATAGTGTAGTCTCTGCTACATTCGTGCCGTTGATTCCGCAACGATCCGACAATCCACGTTCTCCTGTCAGTTTTCTGCTTGCAGCTATTACCAAGTAGGTAATACTCTGGCAGATTTCTGACTCTGCAGATGATTTTTGCGCACCATATTCGTCATCAAATAGAGGGGTCCGAATTTGGTTGTCCAAATGTTGTCAACGATGTTGAAGGCGGCCAATTTCTGGTTCTGCGCGTCATTCTCCCTTCGTGCAGAAGTCGCGCTCCATCTCGTCCGTTGAAGTAGAAGTCGATCCGACGGTCCAAACTCCAAGCGATCTGAAGACATTCC